AGAGAATAAATGTGCAACCATGTTTGGTTTCTTTTTTCACTTTTATTTTTTGTTGTTTTCTGTCATCCTATGAAGAACAGCTGCAAAACGCCATTAGGTGCATAGGAAAAAAAAAAAAAAGATGTTCTTATCCCTATAGTTTTGATAGACAGAAACATAAATATTGGGGCACCTGGTTGGCTCAGTGGTTGAGCATCTGCCTTTGGCTGAGGATGTGGTATCGGGGTCCTGGTATCGAGTCCCGCATCAGGCTCCCTGCATGGAGTCTGCTTCTCCCTCTGCCTGTGTCTTGGCATCTTTCTGTGTGTCTCTCATGAATAAATAAATAAATAAATAAATAAATAAATAAATAAATAATCTTTTTTTTTAAGGATTCCTAAATATCATTTCATACAAGACGATTTCCAAATTCTAATTATCCGGGCTTTTACAGGGGAAACTGGACTGACCACATTAAGCCCTCTCTATGGAGTTATGTAGTGTTATCTCATGCCTGATGCCATGTCAGTGTCCTGTTACTCCTGGTGTAACTCCTGTTTTTTAGCCTTATCACATAGAAACTATAGACTGGAACCAGTTTTTAAATGATCTCCTTTGGTTGCCTGACCAGCAGGGAAGATTGTTATTCATTTGCAGCAAGAAACTCAATCATTTCTGGGTTCCAATTAGAGAAAGCCTATGGGCCCTTTTATTAAGATGAAACACAAATTGTATCAAGAATTGCTAAACCACTTAATATTTTTATGGTGATATTAAGAAGCTTGAACATTTTAAATACTAATTGGAATATGTGTAGGGTATTTTTAATCGATGTATAAACTCTAACCTCCATTTCATTAAAATTGTGTCTTATGGTGCTTTTTTTTTCCACCTTGAAGATTTACCATACACAGTAGGATCAAGAATCCTGCAGTGTTCAGTGTTGGTTGGGACACACACTACTATAATCTAATCTTAACCATTTCTGCAGGTGTTTTTTCATTATTCCCAAAAAAAGAGAATTATTTTTTTAGAAAACATTTTTTAAATACAGACTATAATTTAAATAGTTCTTTAACTTCATTTCTATATACACACTTTAAAAATATCTATCTAAATTAACTTACACAATTACAGAGTCCTATACTTTAAGAGGAGACTGAAATCTTATGAACACAAGCAGAAAAAAATTATGACAGTTTGGGCTTGGTGGGGTATAATTTTGATTGTATGGAAATGCATAAGTATATACATATGCATATCTGTGTATGTTTCAAAATTCTGATTTATACATTAAGAAAGTATTGCCTTTTAATAAAAGACTTCTGTTAAATAGTATTTTAAGGATGAATCTTTTAAAATGCAAGTTATCCTCAATACAACTGTTATTTTAATGTTGGCCTTATGTGGCTTTGTAGAAAGGACACACCTTCTAATAGTATTTCATTTATATGAAGTGAGTCACAGTTTTGCCTCTTCAAAGGATATTAAGAGTGTGCAAGGTACACAGTTATCCAGGTTATCAGTTTTAACATAAGAATTAGTAAATTCCAAGACCATCCAGCTGATGGGGTGGGCTACATGAAGCAAGTTGAGAAATACTAATGGTTTAGATTTTATTTAAGATACTATGAAAGTAAGTTATCTATATAATCAGATGATATAAATTAGTATATTTTCCAATTCTTTTGGATATCTAGCTTCTTTGTCTCTTTTTTTTCCCATAAAATGTCCTTTCAGAAGTTTCACGAGTACAGTCCTGATTATCTTCTCTGTTCTCCCCAAGTATGTTTTACTACTTAAACTAAAGGATTCTTTTTTTTTAAGATTTTATTTATTTATTCTTGAGAGACACAGTGAGAGAGGCAGAGATGTAGGCAGAGGGAGAAGCAGGCTCCATGTGGGGGTCGATCTCGGGACTCCAGGATCATGTCCTGAGCCAAAGGCAGATGCTCAACCACTGAGCCATCTGGGTGCCCCAAACTAAAGGATTCTTTCATCACATTGCTGATCTGCTTGTTTTGATACTATTTCTTAAACTTTTTATTCCTTGGTCCACAACTTTTATCAATTCTCCAAAATTTTTTTAAAAATATATTTTTTCTGTCTTAGAAAAGCTGCCATAGTCATAGGCATCATTTATCAAGGTACATGTCCTCATTGTCTTTATAGTAACAAAACGGGAGTAAAATATTTACACCAAATTTAAATGATCAAAGTCATTTCAAAAATAATTTCTAATATAATAAAGTCATGTTTAAATAGAATGTTAGACATATAAGAGGTAGGAAAATATTAATCATGTTAGAAAGCAAGAGGTAATGGACAAAGCCTTAACTGCAGAGTCAGACTAGGGTTTGGAAACATCTCTGCCAACATTCTCACATTCGTTAAATTTAAAAAAAATTGTATCAGAAGTATTCTTAAAAAAAAACGTAGTATTCTTGTGAGAAGTGTAGAAATTATTAGTGACATATCTAGAATAGCTACCATTATCAGCCCATGGGGTAGGTATTATTAACTATTCCTATAACTAATAATTACAAAAGTATGTAAAATATTTGAAGACAGAAATCCCTGGTTCATTTATTCTTTCTTTCCTATAAGCAGGTTTTGAAATGGGAATTCTTTGCAAGAATTTAATCAAAAGAGAACTATCAGTTTCCCTAAGCTCATAAAACATTTTTTTAGATTCCACATGTAAGTATGATCATATAGTTTTTGTCTTTTTCTGTCTCACTATTTCACTTAGCTTAATGCCCTCAAGGTCTACCCATGCTGTTTCAGATAGTAGGGTTTCCTTTTTTCAATGGTTGGATAATATTCCATTATATTTGGAATATATTTTCTTTTTCTGTTCATCCATTGATGGATACTTAGGTTCTTTCCATGTCTTGGCTATTATAAACAATGCTGCAGTGAACATGAGATACAGATATCTTTTTGAAATAGTGATTTTATTTCCTTTGAATATTCACCCAAAAGTGGAATTGCTGGATCAACGGGTAGTTCTAGTTTTAATATTCTAAGAAGCCTCTATACTATTTTCCATATTGGCCATACCAATTTATATTTCCACCAATGCTGTGTAAATAAATGTTCCCTTTTCTCCACATCTTCTCTAACACTTGTTACTTCTAGACTTTTTGATGATAAGCATTCTAACAGGTATGATGTGATATTACATTACAGTTTTGATTTGCATTTATCTAATGATGAGTGATGTTGAACATTTTTTCATGTAATTGTTAGCGATTTGTATGTTCCCTTTGGGAAAATGTATTCAATTCCACTGACATTTTTTAATTGGGTCATTGTTTTGCTACTGAGCTGTACAAGTTCCTTATGTATTTTGGATATATACCTGTTTAGCAGATACAAGATTTGAAAATATTTTCCCCTATTCTTTAAATTGCTTTTTCTTTTTTGTTAATAATTTCCATTCTGTGCAGAATCTTTTAATTTATTTTTATTTTGTTTTGTTTCTAAGTTTTTATTTAAATTCCAGTTACTTAACATACAATGTTATATTAGTTTCAGGTGTACAGTATAGTGATTCAACACTTCCATATAATACACAGTGCTCATCACAGCAAGTACAATCCTTATTCCTCATTTTCTATTTCACCTGTCCCTCCACCCACCTTCCTTTAATAACCATCAATTTATTCACTACCATTGAATCTGTTTCTTGATTTGCTTCCCTCCCTCCTTTTTGTCCCTTTGTTCTTTTGTTTTGTTTCCTAGATTCCACATATAAATGAAATCATGGTATTCATCTTCCTCTGACTGACATTTTTCTTAGCATAAAATATTCCAGATCACTTTGGTAGTATGGATATTTAACATTAATGGTTCCAAACAATGAGCATGTATGTGTTCTCTTTAATTGTTCTCATCAATGTCTTATAGTTTTTAGTATACAGATTTTTCACCTACTTTTGTGAAGTAATTGTAAGTGGGACTGTCTTCTTAATTTTTTTCTGATAGTTCGTTGTTAATGTATAGAAAAATAATTGATTTTATATCTTGATTTCGTATCCTAGAACTTTACTAAATTCATTAGTTTGAACAGTTTTTTGGTAAAGTCTTTAGGGTTTTCTTAATTTCATGTCATCTACAAATACAGGCAGTTTTACTTCTTCCTTTCCTATTTGGATGCCTTTTATTTTTATTTTATTTAATTGCTCTGACTAATACTTCCAATGTAATGTCAAATAAATGTGTCCAGAGACAGGGGATAGGGTAGTGGGAGAAACAGGTGTAGTCAAAAGGTACAAATCTCCAGTTATAAGACAAATAAGTCCTGGAATGTAATGTACATCATGCTGACTATAATTAACAATATTGTATTGTTTATTTGAATGTTGCTGAGAATAGATCTTAAAAGTTCTCATCACAAGAAAAATATAACTATATGAGGTGATGGATGTTAACTAAAGCTATTGTAATTATTTTTCAATATACACATTCATCATATCATTCAATTATACATTATAGTGTATAGCTGTCAATTTTATCTCAAAACTGGAGACTAAAAGAAAGAACTTCAAGGAAAAATATGTAGGGGGGGGGTGAGAAAAGCAGGAAAGGTAATGGGGAAAAAGCTTCAGGTGGTTTCAGGCAAAACTGTGTCACAACAGTAGCCTCAAGTGCAAAGGTATAATTCCAAGTACTTCTGGAAAAGGTTACTCTAGGAGCCCAAAAAAGCAGTCCTCCAGAAATAGCAGGTATGAGCAGTTAGCATCAGGATCAGGGCCACAGGACTGCTATAATTACTCAACAAATTAGTTCCTTAATACACGATTGCTTGGTTAAGCAGAATAGAATTAAATTGTTTTTGCTATATCTCCAAATCTTCCAAGTGAGAACATGGTGGTTGTTTGGTACCTTATAGAAGTTAGCATATGGATATGCACAAAATGATTGTAAAATATTTATAAATTGCTTGATTTATTTACTTCACATAATATGAAAACTTTCTCATGTTTCCTTTCTGTATGCATATTTAAATCCAATAGGCCAGAACCTGTTTTGTGGACAAAGGATGGTGGAGAATTGCCAGATCCTGACCGAATGGTTGTGAGTGGTAGGGAGCTAAACATTCTTTTCCTGAACAAGACGGATAATGGTACATATCGATGTGAAGCCACAAACACCATTGGCCAAAGCAGTGCAGAGTATGTTCTCATTGTACATGGTGAGTACTTTTTTGACTTTATTATATGTGAAAAAAATGAATGACCTGAAAAACTTTAAGATCACAGTCTTTAGAATAACAAAATTTTAAACAGGTTTTCTTTTTCTTTCAGAAGGACTTTACATAAAAGATTCATAATTAATGTCTTCCAAGTCAAACTAATAAAATTAAATCACAGCACACTAAAAATAAAATTTTTTTGTAAAAGGTTTTATTGCAAATATATGTTTTGTTAGTGACTAGTAAATAATGTTTTCCTTTAAATTTTGCAAATAAATGCTTTTCTTATAAATCACAATCATGAAAGCTATATTTACTTTAAGTTAATTTTGATTGTAATATCATAAAAAATATACTGTGTACTCTTTATGGCATGTTGCTGAGATGTAGCAAGGACAGATGCGTATACTATTAATAACTACATTAATTTCTTATGAGCAATTATTTTAAATAGTCACAGACACTTTTTTCCCGCACTAATATCACAATTTGACTAAATATAACAAAATGCCAGAAAGAAATTTCCGTACCCAAGACCGAGACAATCTCTGTTTTTCCAAACCTCGAGAAGCCACAATTGTTGTTCGTGAGATAGCTTTTTAACATGTTGTTAGAGATGAATTTTTATGAGATTGATAAATAATGCAATAAAAATTTAGTCAGGTTTCTTTATTGTAAGACTTCTCAGGGTTTATTAAATATGCCAGGGTATATTGTGAATTTCCAAGAGAAAGAAGCATTAAAGAATGTAAAATTGGGCAGCCCCGGGTGGCTCAGTGGTTTAGCTCCGCCTTCAGTCCAGGGTGTGATCCTGGAGACCCGGAATCAAGTCCCATGTCGAGCTTCCTGCGGGGAGCCGCTTCTCCCGCTTCTCCCGCTTCTCCCGCTTCTCCCGCTTCTCCGCTTCTCCCGCTTCTCCCGCTTCTCCCTCTTCTCCCTCTGCCTGTGTCTCTGCCTCTCTCTCTCCCTCTCTGTGTCTCTCATGAATAAATAAATAAAATCTTAAAAAAAAGAATATGAAATCTTCCGCATATTTCACCATGAAAATGTTTTCTAAGACAGGTATTGTGTTTTATGCAATATTACAGAATTCCAAAAGAGTGCTATATAAAACATGATGCTGTAATAAATCCAGTGTCTCTTACAAACCCTGGAGAGAGTATATTTGTTTGATATCTTTCCGATAAATATAACTTAAAAATATTATAAGTAGCATGAATTAGTTCTGTGCCTTTCCAAAAAAGAATTTGGGGGAAGAGAGTAAAGTCTAATTCTTTGTGAAGAAATTTTATTTTAGGGTAAAACAATTAATTCAGTTTGTGTTTTTTTCCCCAGGTATTTATTTTATGATGCAGGCTAAAATTGGAGAAAAAGAATATATTAAATCAATATATAACTTACCTATTCTCAAATTAATGTATGCAGTCTATCAATTCTTAATACCACTTTGCTATTGAAGGCAAATGAAGGCTTGCATTAAATAGACTGTCCACATATAAAGTCCTTGAATTATATAGCTGAAGATTAATTTCTAGCGTCCTATGAATTGTGCGGATTACAACTTTTGGGAAACATCAGCCTAATCCAATTAAACTCATAAATTGGAACTAAATGTGTTAAAGCCCTGTAGACACACCCTGACAGGCTTACGGCTGGAAAGAGTATAACAGCACTAGGTGTGTCAAGGAGATAAGTTAGATCCTTGGAGCGAGACCCAAGAGTAGCTCTGAGTTCATGCTGACCTATATGTGTAGATTGTGCAGCCATGGAAGTGAAATCTGATTCACTTTGAGCTTTCTAAGTGGTTCTCACTAACAGTTCTTGGGAACCTGAGGGCATGTTGTATAGCATGTCACATTGTGTCGACAGCAATATGACATAAAGAATATAAAGAATTAGAAGGGAAGTGATAGAAAAATAATATACTTAGATGAAAAGTATGCCATTCTTTTTTTTTTTTAATAATTCAAGTGGAGCAAATGCATATGTTTTCCCAGTGTTTGCAAGCTAGCCAACAGCATGATTTTCTAAATAGCCAAGCCACTTTTAGGTATTTGGCAGTTGACATATTTCTAATAAATACTTCCCTAACCACTTTGTAAGAAGTCATTTTTGGCTTTGCTTTTTGAACTACAATTCATCAAAAGCACCCCATAGATTAATGTTATTCATGCTGCTAGATAAATGCTGTGAAGTTCAACAGTAGTTTACCTAGGATTATTGACACAAGTAATGAGAGGTTCGATGAAACAGTGAAACCGTATTACACTGTGTTTTAAAAGGGCTCCAATTGGGTTCATTACAAAATAAAGTTTTTTTTTTTCCCTCTTCGCACATAGGGTATAATGTTTCATTAGTCACTGGTTGTATAAATATAAAAAGCTACTCTCTTCTGTTAATGGTTTGGTTGTTTCAAAACCCTACTAAATGATGAAATTTGAGTGGCATTTCGATCTATAATGAATGCTGTATGCATTTCGGAATGGAGTGATAAGTGATCATTTGTGAGAACTTTACCCTTTTATCTTTTACACCAAGGTTGATTTTACATTAGCTGTGATAATTTAATATAGCTCTAGCACAGAAAGGCCTTTCATGAGCTGAGGCTGTCTTTGACTCTACCACAGTTGCCTAGGTTCTATTGATTCTTAACTTGATGGAGGTCTGAACACTTTCCTGTGAAATCATCTGCTATCTAGATGCCATCCTAATGATTAGATTTTATTCTTTGGGTGTCAGTGAAAGTACATTATTTAAATGTTATCACATTTAATTGTTAACAGCATTGACATTTTGTGTTGTGGACACTGGAGAGCTTCTCTCCCCCTCCTAATTATACCTTTACAAATTTCAGCCTTAGAACTGCAGATGGTGATTTGAAACTGCCAGTCTAAAATTCACCCTCAGTGAAAGGTTTAAAGAAATTTAGCATACAAGTACTTGTAGGATAAAATATTAAGCTTATGAAACATTTGTACTGTGTAAGTTTCTTTAGAAAAAAGTAGCATTTTTCATTAACAAGCTCAGCAATGGAAAAATTTATCTGTTGAATTGGTAACCTTAGTTATACTATTAATTCATATGAGCAGAATAGTGTTTTGTTTTCTTTTGTTTTTTGCTTCTGTATAAAAATATTGAAGCCATTCTCATGTTTTCATTGCCACCATGCTATTTATTTATTTAGAAGGTCTGATTATTTCCATGTTAGTGGTTTTTAAACATACTACTCCATTGTATTTACTATTTGGAAAACTTAGAACATGAGAAAAATTCATTAATTCACCCAATAAATATTTAGCATTTAACTACTGAATGCAAAAGCACTATAGGAATAAATGTGAATAGAATTCACGTTGGGAATTTAATATGGAAGATAAGCTTTCAAGTAGTTATAATACCAAAATGAAAGGATTAGAGGAGGATGGACATATAATGGTGTAACCATTTGGAGTCTTTAAGAGTGTGGTCCAAGTGTCTAGAATTAAAATTATCTATCTATCTATCTATCTATCTATCTATCTATCTATCTATCTATCCATCTATCGGTATAGTAACACAGCACTTCTGAATTCTTCAAAGACAAATGGTATACATCATAAATGGAAGTAGGCAGCAAAGTGCCAGGGCCATATGTATGCAATAAATCAAACTATTATTATTATTATATTACTAGTAACCTTAAGATACCAAAGGGAATCTCAATCCAATGCTCTGGTAAAAAATCTTACCCAAGAGTCGCATGCAATTTAGTGCCCAAAATCTTCCCTGAATGGTACCCAGAGGATAAATTAGATTATGTCTATTGAAAAATGAGAAAATTGTAAATTTTTGCTAACTAGGCAACAGAGGATATCTTAACAATTCAACAGTATAGCAAATTAGTTACCTACAGAGTGCAGGATAAAAGTCATAATTACTCTTGGTTCTCTAATGTGACATCAACTTCAGAGGGTTTAGATAAAATATCTTCTTCCCGGGCAAGGACTTCCCAGTTATGCATCTTCCAGTATAGGGAACATAACAGATACCTTGTTATCGCACAAGGAATGGCTATAGAGAATTACAGATGACCTTAGGCTAATCTTATTTTGGGGATAGAAGCAACTCAAGTTCTACTATTTATTTGTCATCACCTAGTGCAAAGTGTTTGTTCTTTGAAAGTGTCAGAAACATATAGCACCCAGGAAATTTTGAGAAAGAATTTGGAGAGTGAAATACACAAATCAGTACATCTCCTCCAAATCTGAATTTTTTTTTCTTTCTCTGCACTCCCAATACCTTTTTAGTCCCTTCACACTATACTCATGCTAGAGAAATTTGTAGCCACTCCTCAAAATACAAATGGAAGAGGAACAGAGCCTATGGAACTCCTTAGTATCATCTGTACCCTCAAAACCTTCCACAGGATTTGGGAAGAGATACAATACAAGCAGAAAAAAATGGATAGCATATTTCTTCTTGTACCAGTAGCAGTACCATCTATGGGGAGGCCCAGATCGCAGGAGAGCATTCCAAGGAATCCAATGAGAGTTTCAGTGAAGAACCCACTCCACTCAGAACCCAACTCAGAGTTGTTTCAGATGCTCAGAGTAAAATGCACTATTCTAGAAGGGTCTGCATGATATTTCCCATCTCTCCTGAAACATATTCTTTCTGTTATCATAATAGCCCTTATATGAAATTTAAAATTATTTTACCACTGTTCTAATATCCTTTACTTCATTATTTTTCTACTTGTGTGAATAAGCTTTTGTAACAATTCATTACTTCTTCATTAAACTTACTATTCCTGTTTTGAATAAAATTACCCACCACATATCCTTCCATATTTTTACTTTTATGTATACATATTTTGCTTTTCTAGCAAATTTTATCTTAATGACCACATAAAAATAAGTAAAGTTCTCCATAACTAGTATTATCATAGCAGAAAATAAAAAATAATAAAAAGCTTCTTTATGTTTCTGTAATGTCAGTTTACTGACAGTCACTGACTTGAT